AGACCGAACATAAAATAATTGCCACGTGGCGCCATCATAGACAAAATTTCTGGAGAATTTCTATGTTCCTCGACGCTGAGTAGATTTTTTAAGAATCATAGAGCCGTGAAGCAAAAGACTTCCACGTGTCAAAGCTACGTAGCTTCTATAACCAGCTTAGCGGTAAGGTAAGCTCACCGTCGCTTTCTGGTACAATAATTATATTATAATTTATTTATTTTTTAATTTATTTAAAAACTAATATTTAAGCACTCAAATTAATTTCAATTGACAACTGCCATGATTTTTATATCAATATTGATGTAATTGAGCCATAAATATCATCATAAAAATATACTATTCGGCATAGCTCAAATATCAGTAGTTAAAAAAATATGTATAATAAGTCGGGTATTTAATTTTTTTTAGTTTTTTTTTTCATTTTTAAAAAAATGAGTGGCACTTTTATGATTTATATATTTTTTTAAATAAAAAATATAAAATATGTTTGATTGTAAAAATATATTTTTTTATAAAACGGTTAGACCGACGCTTCGTTCCAAGATTAAGCTATGTCACCAATGGAGTATGTAACATCTTCCTTGCTCTAAGAAACATAAAGTATTACCCGTGGGCAGGCGGGCTGGCAGCTGCAGGCGGAGGCTAGCATTGAAGAATGGCGATTGGCGACTGGCTGACCAACGCCAACATCGGACTGCGGGTGCCCGAAGACGGGCTAGGCTAAAGGTTGTTTCGGGTCTTTAAAAACAGTCAAAAATATGTTTTTTTCTTTTTTTAGTATTTAAAAAACTGTAAAAAACTGAAGTGTTCTCAAGTGTTCTCAAAAAAAAAAAAAAAATTCAAACAATATTTTCATGTTTGTTACCTATTTTTTGTTTTCAAGGACAAAAAATAAAAAAATAATCCCAAACAACCCTTAACTATTTATGTAACGAACCCCATTAAACCAAAGTATTAACATCAATAAGTCCTATTTAAATGGGTTGCTCGTGGAAGACTCTAGACATTCACAACATTACATTTGAACTCGACTTAATTTAAAATATTGATTTTAATGCTACATGTATTGTCCTGAAAGCGTTCAATAAAAGACGACAAAATAAAACTACTTGTCATATAGTTCAATTTTCATCAATGTTTATAAGACCCGGCCTCAACTATACACACAAATATGCAAGTGCTCGTGTTTTATTTTTTGTCATTCTAAAGCTTTTAGCAACTATTTTGCCTCATTACCTCTCAATACAAGATGTTATAACATTTAAAGCTTCCGATCACTCTGGAATAATTAATCATACTATTTTGCATTTCCTCACAGTTATTACTATTCTATAATACCATTCAAGTTGGGATTTCACAGTATAGTGTGTCATAGAGGCATGTGAAAAAAGATAAAAGGGCGGTGAATGTTATTCTCCCAAAACCTCTAAACTCTTTTTGACCCTCACCAACATAATCTGATTTGTTATACTTAATTTTATTTCCAACTCTAAGTTCAATTTTAGCCTTAAAAGACTTGGAAATATCAATAAAGTGCAACAATACATGTGGCAAATATTGGTAATCAAGCCCCAACTAATCATCTACATACAAGATGAAGTATTATTATCCAATCCCAGAGGCAATAGGCAATGGACTATATATTTTAGTATTCATAAATTTAAGATGATTGTAGTATTTATAACACTTAGTTTTTTTTTTCGCATTGATTCACTTACTCAAAACTCAAAAATCTATTAAATATAAGCTTTCAAAAATGTCAACACCTTCGATATAAGACCCCACAGTAGGGGATTCGAATCCTCTCTAGCATAGCTGGGCTTAAAGAGGTGGTACTCGAATTTTTAGACACATTAAAGGCGGTTTGAGACTCGTATAATAGTCTCTTATCATTTCTTACATACATATACTACATACATACACAGATGTATATAGATGTATATAGATGTATATAGATGTATATAGATGTATATAGATGTATATAGATGTATATAGATGTATATAGATGTATATAGATGTATATAGATGTATATAGATGTATATAGATGTATATAGATGTATATAGATGTATATAGATGTATATAGATGTATATAGATGTATATAGATGTATATAGATGTATATAGATGTATATAGATGTATATAGATGTATATAGATGTATATAGATGTATATAGATGTATATAGATGTATATAGATGTATATAGATGTATATAGATGTATATAGATGTATATAGATGTATATAGATGTATATAGATGTATATAGATGTATATAGATGTATATAGATGTATTTAGATGTATATAGATGTATATAGATGTATATAGATGTATATAGATGTATATAGATGTATATAGATGTATATAGATGTATATAGATGTATATAGATGTATATAGATGTATATAGATGTATATAGATGTATATAGATGTATATAGATGTATATAGATGTATATAGATGTATATAGATGTATATAGATGTATATAGATATGTGTATGTA